GTCATGTTAATCAATTTAATCATATCAAATCAAATTCACATTGCCTTGATTAGAGTAAAGCTAGCTTAAGATTAAATTGAGATGATGTTTATTGTACTTGACCTAAACCCACCCGTAACCACTTTAGTTAAAGCATTTGCTTAACATGAAAGGCAACACAGCGCAGTGACACAGTATCCTTCTGTACTGATTTCTTACTTTATATTTGTTTGGAAGTTTTTAATATTAGATAAAAGTAACTCAAATAAAAATAAAATGCAGCTTTTAAGTGAAGATGTAATTTATTAAGTGAAAAATGTTTCCAAACGTACCTGGCCATATGTGAAAAAGTAATTGCCCCCTAAACTTATTACCTGGTTCTGCTCATGGATGCCATTTTTGAGTCTCTTTTTTATTTTGTTGTATCAGGAACACTGAACTTGACGTGAGCCTGCAGTTCTTTAGTTTTTCTGGGTTCTTTTGCGACCTTATGGATAAGTTATCAATGCACTCTTGTAACCCTTTCCAGACTGATAGATGTCAGTGATTTTATTTCTCACCTGTTTTTAAGCTTCTTCAGATCGAGGAATGATATATTGCATTTTGTTCTATTTAAAAGATTTCTTGGTTTACCAGGTCTGGCAGTTGTCAGGTGTAGGTCTGGCAAGTGAAACTTAATGCAGCTTTCTAAAAAACATTGTTGATCACAGTTGATTCGTGATTTAACTAGCTGGTCATTTACTTTTTCACACGGTGCCTGGTAGGTTTGGACAGCCTTTTTTCTCCTAATCAATGAAGTCAACATTTAAATCATTTTGTATTTACTCACTTTGGCATCGTCTGATATAAAAATTTGTTTGATGATCTGAAATATTTAAATGAGACGTATACAAAAGAAAACTAATAAACGAGAAACAGGAAAAGTACTTTTATTTAGCATTAGGGGAGAAACTGTATGCCTAAAACATAGTCTTATAAAAATTAGCAGATGGCAACTGGTTATCTTAACACAAGTACAGGGTTCACAGTATGACATTGAAACAGCCAATCAAATAATGATTGACATAGCCATTGGGATGTTCTCCATTACTTTGTGAAGTCCTGTTTTAAAGGTTCAAGTTTAGCATTATGTCATTTTAGCCACCAGTTTAGTTTGGTTTTGTTTGTAATCTGAAGTCACCTTATTTGAATTAGAGGGCAGAAATGTAGCCCAACATATTGTGAAAAAAATTGTTGGGCTACATTAATGAGCTGCTGACCTTGAATTCACTAAATATAAAAATGAGAAGTATAAGTTTAAATCACAAAAACCCTGCGTTTTGGGTTCTGTCACTTATCCTACAGTTTTCCTGTAACTCAGATTTTCCTAATAAGTCTGACTTCATGTAAATGAGAATGTTTTATGCTGTTTACATGCATAATAATAAGTGTGTATATTTTTAAATGGTCTATATTGATATACTTATAAGGGATCAGGCAAAATTCTACTATTATACATCTGTTCACAGGTTGGTTTTATTTGAAAGAGTCACTGGAGCCAGGTTTATTTGATATCAGCTGTTGCCAACTTAAGAGGAAACCAACCTGAAACCATTCATCATTTTTTATGTCAATAATGCATGAATACACTTATAGAACAGCTTAATACAAATGAGCTAAGCGAGAACAACCTGAATGTTTAAGATTGCTGACATAACAGTGAGAGACCCACCTACATTTTGACACTGACAATCTATCAGTGTAAACCTCCAATCAAATTAATCCTTTTGATCACTGAGGTTTAATGTTGACGCAGTTCTCGTAATGGTATCTTATTGCGTATTCTATAGTAAGAACATCTTCTGAGAAACACAAACATTTTCCCAGCATTAAACGAATGTGTTCATAGAAAAAAACATACAAATATTTTAATTGTCTTCCTAGAATTACGAACTGCTCAGACAAGATTTCAGAACAGAAAAATGCTTTAATGAGTGCAACGTGCTTGCCAAGTTTTTATTAGTGGTGAGTAATTCTCTTATCGTGTTCCCACAAATACCTGAAAACATGAAGGAAAGTTTTTTTGTTTGTTTCTTTTTTAAAAAACAGACAAAAAACCAAAACAATGACCGGATTTACAAAAAATGAGAAAACATTTTGTTTACCGTAACAGCCTGAAAGAGGCAGTGTTTGCAAGATCATTTTTAAACACCTGTTATTTGTAATTACCTGATTATACTTTTAACATAATAATAAGTGTGTATAGGCTTACAAGCGTATTGAGTCAGTGATCTTTAGCAAATGGCTCAAACTATGAAGAAACCCTGCTAAAACACTTCACTCTCCTTTAGTACCAGCAGATAGCAGTAAAGCACCACTCAGACAGTAGTTCTGCACAAGCATATACACCCTGCAAAATGGGGAATGTCTGTGGTGCTCAACCAAATCCTACAAAGGTGGATCTGCATTACAAAGTATATTTCAATGTGAATCCCTCACATAAAGTACTGCAGGTAAACATCAAGTAGATAGTTCATAAATAGTTTACATACCTGTTACATTGTGGAGGTTGATTACACCATCGATTGCCCATGCAAACTATGACAGCGGCACCCTTTAATGTGAAACCATGGTAACAAGAGTATAGAGCAACCAGTTTTCGAGATGTAGAGGACAAGATATAATCTCCATTGTTGATCTGTTTAGGAAGGCCACACCGTTTTAAGTCTGGAATTGGGTAAAAGTTTCTCGTTAATATGTGGCAGAAAAAAGGAAACCAATTTAAGGCAATGATTTTTTAAATAATAGGCGAAAGATTCGCCAAAAATTTCACAGGCTGACCTTCGCCCATTTCGTCTTTCCAAGCTTCCAAATTCATTGAGGGTATCTGATCACAGGAGACATAATGAGATGGATACTTCCCCAATCTGAAAGGATCAAGAGGAACTATCCCTATGTCGCTATTATCACAGATCAGATGGGATAGAGAAAATTTTAAAAGTTCCTCCTTCTGTTGCTGGGTGAACACACCATCAGCTTCCCACCAAAACCTGAAAATGAAAAATACACAAGTTTCACTGAAGCCTTGATTTCATTTGAATGTTCAACCTAGACAAATCTTATGTACCTGTCACCATCACGGAGCACTTTCATCTGCCTTCCAATCAGGCAAGCAAAGAGAGGACCAGTTCTTGAGCCAGGCAAAAGCCTTTCAACAAGTCCTCCTGGATATACATCGATATTGTCGGGATGTTTGTATATGTCAAGTATTCTCTTAGCAACCCTGGAGTCTCCCACGGCCAGTGACAAATCATCCAATGTCTTAATGCGCTGCAATCCACAGAATTCCCTCCAAAGTGACAAATATCTGTCTAATCGCTGAATCCAAGAATTCTCCAATATGACCGAAAGATTTTAGCACAGTGTCATTTAAAAGTGAATATATTCATTTAAATTTGGATGTCTTGTCAAGAGTTCTCTTTATGAAGACTACGTACAGGAAGCTATTAAAGCTTAGCTAGAAACAGGAAGAAATGGGACGCCAGCTGTCCAAATAAAACCCATTCAGCAGAACTGCTAGAGCTCACTGCAGCATCTTTCTCTGATTTCTCTGACACAAAAATATGAGCTTGACCAAATGAAAACAACCCATTGATTTAAAACTAAAGTCTAAGATGGTCTGTCTTGTTTTTAGTTGTGCACAAAGTTGTCTTTCTTATTGTCGTATTTTTTTTTTTTTTTTTTAAAAGCTTTTGCTTAAATTAATGCTGTCATTGACTAGAAGTTAAAGACATATAAAGATACAAATAAAGAGAGTGAAAAAGATAGTCTTGATAACCGTTTTACTAAAAGTTCCAGGGAAAAGGCATGGTCCTTGGATATGAGATTTAGCACAGCTGCACTGGAACTGCAAAAAGCTTTTTTCACATTGGTAATAACTATTCCCAAGAGTCTGATGTGTAAAGTCAGTGGAGTTAAACTAGGCAATGCAAGATTTTGGCACCTTTCAGACACAAGGCAATTCAAAATGCTTCAAAAGATTTAAGTACAGTAAAAAAAAGATTAAACTTGCATGGAAAGTCAATAGAATGCATTGCAAAAAAATAGAAAAACGTTGACCTATGAGTGAGCACGAATGCCACAGGCTTTCCTGCTACAGGCATAGGTGCTCTGTGAATCTAAACCAGCACTTTTTACAGCTTTAAATATATTCTCATGCAGCATTATATCACAAAATTAGCATTCAGTTTCTTTTCAAAGGCATGAAATATGAAATAACCAGATAACTTTGAGAACACGTCATATACAGATCAACTGTTGAAAATGTTGAAAAGAATAGCTCAATTTCCATTTTGTCAAACATTACTTGTGAAGCAATTAATACCTTTTAAATTATTTGTTCTCACTTTCATCTTAGTCCCTTTTCAAGTTATCGCAAAGCACTTTTTTCCCCCTCAAGTACAGACGTTGTATTTTAAGTGAATAACAGATTGTGTTCCAGGAGAATCAGTCTGTGCATATTTTCAGCCATTTTCCCTTTGAGATTTCCTGTCATGTAAAAACGTAACTAAGTTGATGCTAGCTTCCCATTCTATAGCTTTAACATCATTGCTAAATGTTAAAGAAAAGTATTGTGACAAAAACGAATGAAAAGAAAAAAGGGAAGCATGTAGAGTGCAGGTGAGAGAATCAGGTGATATTACTTTCTGATTTCCTGAGTTCGTGTCATCATGGAAGCTGGAAGAAATGCCAGACTGCAGGGCAAGTAAAATCCACCTGATTGATATGATTATTAAACTGCCTATCTGATTTAATTATTTATTAACTCAAGATGCAGGAAGCCAGTGACTGGCGACCTATCCAGGATGTACCCCGCCTCTCTCCCTATGACAGCTATATATGCTATGTAGATTGGTTCATTCATGGATGGGTGGATCCTGGTTAACGTGTGCTTATCACAATCAACCACTGCTGGGCTGCTGTGGACAGTGACTTTAAATTGGAACATCAAATTGGTGCAGAGTACAGAGTACTCTGCTGTAAAACAAGCAGCATAAAAGAAGGCTAAAAACTCATGCGAGTTCTTCCATACAGTATATATGCAGCCCTAACAGATCTCTACAGCTATGCAGATAGTGCTCTCTCACCTGGAAAATGAATCAAAAGATCATTTTTGCTGATTACAGCTCACGCTTTGGTACAGTTCTTCCCCATAAACAAACTGTGCAACCACAGCCTGGATGCCACACTTTTTGCTTTTTTTTTGTTTTTTCTGGCACCCATGTGATTATAATGGATGTGTCCCCTGTTGAGTAGAGGTGATTATTCTTCATATTTAGCAATGGCTGTGGAAATTTGGCATGACATTAAGAATAAAAAAATCAGGAGATCAAATCCAGTCTTTCCACCTTAACCCGACTCACCATGCTCTCATTTACTTCCCTTAAGACATGAAGGGATCTGAACAGAACTGCACACAATAACCTAAATCTGACTCTAGCTGCTATGACACTATTGAACTCATCTATCATTCTGCACTAATGCTTCAAACGCACCTGGCTGTATAGGATTCTTTCACAGTGCTACTTTCTATATTGCCGTTTTCTTGTGATATTCTGGGTTGTTTTTTCTTTCTTTCTCATGACTCCTCTTGTGAGGGGATTATTTGAATCTGCAAGTTTGCTCACTTAGAGAAATGCTCACGAAGCAACAAGACCATCAAAAAGCTTGGTGGGAAGATGACAACTGTTGGTGGAGTTGTTTGGAAATGGAAGAAATATAAAACAGCCATCGACAGACCTTAATCTGGAACTCCGTGCAAGGTCTTGTTTCATAATTTTGAGGATGGTGGTGGATCAGCCCAAAACTACACAGGAGGAGCTTGTTCATAATCTGAAAGCAGTTGGGACCACCGTCACCACCATGAACACCACTGATAAGGCACTGCCGACAAGTTCCCCTGGCTAAAGAAGCCATATCTACACGCCCATCTTAAGTTTGTCTGTTTGCCAGTGAACAGAGAAGGCTTGGGGAAAAGTGCGAGCTCTTTGCAATCAATTCGACCTAAGAGAGTATGACTCAAAGAGCACCACCCACACAATCAAGCACAAAGTCGGGAACATTATGCTTTGGGGTTGTTTTTCTGCTGCTTCAGTGGACAGGTCCATGTACCATATAATTATCGACAAGAACCTCCTTTACTTTATTAGAACACGATCCTATGGAAGAAGCTGAAGCTTTGAGTTGCCAAACAGAAGCAAAGAAACCTAAAAGTTTTACAGAGTGTCTTTCGAGTTGTGTAAAAAAAAATGGTGGCAAAGTACAACAAAGGGTTCACTGCAGTGCTTGCCAACAAGGGTTTCCCCACAAAGTAGTAGAGTAAGTTATGTTTTGTTTGGGGATTAAATGCTTATTTCATTCAATGACTCTCTCCATTAAAATAGAACTACCATAAAATTAGAGACAGTTCATTTTTTTCTTTTCTAAGTGGGCAAACTTACAAATTCAAATAGTTATTTTCACCAGTGTATATTAATACAAACTTTATCCTCACAGACTGTCAACTTTAAAAAAGATGCACAGCTATTTCATGCATTGAGGTGTGTGGGATATATTGATTACCAATCTCAGAAAAAAAGGGACTTAACTTTCAAGCTATAGCTGCAGTCTTTTTTTATACATGTCATAATGAACGTGAAGTTTTGTTTTCCACCACCTGCGTTCTACCTGTCTGCTCTCTTTTTTGAGCTTTTACCAGCTTGGCGTTCCTCCATGGTGCCTTTTTTCTTTTCAGGGATAACTTTGATCTTTGTGGGAGCAATGGCATTAATGCAGTCAAAACTTTAGAACTGAAACAAGATCATTGACAGGAGCAGAAGGCAGAGCTGGCTTGGGCATGAAAGCTTGGGTAAATAATGCACAGGTGTTTCCGGTGATATAGAGCTTTATGATTGCCTTGGTTTTTATTCTCCTGGTGTCAGGAGAGACGGTAAGAAGAGAAAACGCAGAAATGAGGAGAAAGGACAACATCAGTCACTGATCATGTTGTTTGCATGCTTGGTGAGAGATTAAATAAATTTAATTCCCATACTGTGTTATTATTCCTTTAAATGAACACAAATAGCGTCCCAGAATCAGTGTGAAATGCTCTGGGATGCTCAGGGGAGTGATGTGTTTGATTTGGATCAGCGTAGATAATGTTTTTGTGCTTATCAGGCTTTATGACTCATCTGTCAGCTTTATAATAACAAATCAAGAAAAGCAGGATTGTTTGCCAGATCACTTCTTTTCTTTTTCTTTTTAAACAAATACCAGAATTCATGTTGTTCTTGTATTGTTAGTTTTAAAATTTCACTCCTATATCTACTTCGTCCTTGTGGGCCTACATAGCTCCAAGCTAAAAAGTAATTTATTACAGCACTGCTCATTCCTTATTGTCCACACTGTAAGGAACCAGGAAGCAACAACAGAGTACTCATATTAATGACCACCCATTAAATATGTCAATGGTCACTAAGAAACACAGTTTGTTGACAAAGGGAAGGACAAATGATGTGGGTTTTTTTTGTTTGTTTTTTTAAACAGGGTGTGGAGTGGTTACTGTCGCTTTGATATGACGAGGATAATCTAATGGCATTTGAATGACAGATCTGACTCTCAGCCAAGATCTTACCTGGGAGGCCGTGATCTCGTCCTCTCTGCAGGTTCAGCGCAGCCAGGTCCATCTGCTTCAGTGTATCAAGGACCACTAGCCTCTCTGTTACTTCATCAGCCAACAGCATGTCTGCGCTAACAGCTGACGCTGCAGATCCAATTACGCCTCTCAGGACTGGTTCAATCCCCCCTAGAAACAAAAGCCTATTACTTATTTTTCCAGAGTCATTAGTATTAATTATTATTTATAGTTCATGTGTTGTTGTGGGTTGCTGTTAAGACTGTGACTTTGTATTTCTTTTTTGTTTTTTTCTCTATTAAAAAGATAATATATTGCAATGTTATTAAACTGTGAAAACCTCATTCATTTTTTTGGAATACAGCCCGACTATAATCCAGGGGTTGACCACAATGACAAGAAAAACAACATATGGTTGGAAGGTACTGTTTTCTCTGGACTGGATGCTTTCATTGTTGCTGCTCAGAAATGACTCCCGGGCTTGGATTTGGTACTTCCCAGGGGCCCTCCATTGTCCAAACATTTCTTTTCAGCAAATAGAATGAATGGACTGTTGAGGATGAACATGCTGGTTATCATGACAATACATTTTTATAGTTTTATAAAAGTAATAAACATGGTTTTCAGTTGTAAGGCAACTGAACACAGCAAGGAAGCAGCAAGGTAACAGCTTCAGCCACTGGAGGTCAGCAAAACATCCCAACTGGTGTCAAGATAATATTTGAGGTAGCATAATTCATTTAAATGTGAGACCAGCTGGTGAAGAGCTAAGTAGACCACATTTTATTGTACAATGTCATGGGGTCAGGGCAGTAGAAATAATAGGATCCACAAAGTCAATCTACCCAGATGACATTTCTCAGCAGAAAGGCTGAGAAATGTCATCTCAGTCTTTCTGCTGTGACGCACCCATAGTGAGCATCACAGTGGAGATGCTCACTATGGGTCCCAGTAAGAAAAAGCAACACAAGGTTTTCTGGGTCAGTGAATTGCTGTTAATAGGTTTTTGTGCAGTATGGTTTTAATGTACTATAAATATTATTGTGAATTGGCCATAATATAATATAGTATGAATATTATAATATATAACTATTTGTTTTGTGTTTGTTTTTTATTTCAAAAATGGATGTTGAAGTTTTAAAGTGGATTAAATATCTCTCATTATTTTTATATTACAAAATATCAAATGAGATTCATGAGAACCAATTGCAACATTCTGACAACATAAAAGATCGTTTTAACTGCTTCAAAAGACGATGAATGATGACGTATGGAATGGCGATGGCAAGTGGAGGTCGATCGCAGAGCCACTGTGGGGAAAAAATGACACTTTTCACAGTCGCATTCTGTCAGTGCATCAAGCTCCATCCGTGATACACGCTGGATCTCCTCCAGTGTGTCCAAACAGTGACCCATCAACTTGTTTTTCATTTTCAAGAAGTGGACTAAGTTGCAGAGAGCCAAATCCGACAAGTGGTCCAGGTGGTGAGCGAAGATTCTGTTGGTGTGGGCAAAAAAAAAAAACGTCCTATGTTTTCAGTTAGCTCTGAGCCAGCATGAGATGTCCTTCTGGCAAGCACTGCAGTTCAGATCGTTTCTTCTGAATGCTCTCCCTCAGGACATAACAGTCGAATTTGATACCGGCATTCCCACCCTGGGGGATGAATTTATGGTGCACAGCCTGATGAAGACTAAGGGAAAGAAAGAAAATAAACAAGCATACTCTTGATCTCACTACTCACCTGATGTGCTCAATCTAGGTTTGGAAATTGATCCTTCACACAAAATTTGAGCTAGTTTGAAACAGAACAGAATGTTTGACTTCCAGGATAAAATTGCACACCATATAGCATATGTGGTTGTAACAGTATTTCCAAAAGCATGGTACAGGAATGCTGGAGGCTATCTGGCACATGCCAAAGAACATGATCTTCAATGTGAATTTCAGCCAAGTAAGTGTTCTAATTATTATGGATCTGTTTTTCACACTTTGCACACAGCTATGACCTTAAAATACTTTTCACTGTATGGAAATACAGTGAAAAGTATTTTAAAGTAAAAATGAAAACACCTCAAACTTTTGTAAGCAGACCCAGAAATTCTGATCTTTAGGATATGATAAAAGGTGAGTGTGTCACAGTTGTTCATCGATCCATCCATCCACTTCAGGTTATCCACTTCAACATCACAAGGGAGCTACATGTCGAGCCTATTCCAGCTATCAAGGGGGCAAGAGGTGGGGTGCCAGTCTGTTGCAGCATCAACACAGAGAGTCATGCGCTGACTCATATCTACAACCAATGTAGAATCAGTCGTTAACCTAACCTTATGCATTTGGGGGGGATACTGGAGAAAGCCAGAGTAGCATGCAGACATGAAGAGAACAGCAGAAAGACTGTGCGTGGCATTTCTGATTTTGTTGAGACTCAATGTATCATTTTCATTCCCAGCAGGCAAAGAACTCTAAAAAAAACAAGTATACACAGCCTCAACCTGAATAAGCTGACCACTGAAGTATTTAGTAGCTAGAAAACAACATATTTTCTGAAGAATTTGAGAGCTCTAATCCAAGTATGAACACTGAACCCACATTCCCCAGTGGTCATGAATACAGGTGGGAATGAATATAATTGTTGCAGGCTTAGAAAAGAAGCTGGTTGCAACATTTTACTTAATAATTTAGACAAAGCATATTATTCTTTTTCAGATTTAAAGACTTAACAAACATACAATTGCTCTCTCATATAACCCATCACAATCATCAGAATGATTTACAGTCTTCTTGCTGTTATTTAATATTGAGGAAAACAGTGAATAAAAGAAATGTGGCAAAACAAAATATATGCAAACGTCGGAAAGCTAAGCTACACGGCTGGACCAAACGTCCAAGTGGAAACTTGACACTACTCACTAATACATGTGTCCCTTTGCTGCTGTTTGGGTTTTCAGTTAGTTTGATCATAATGGTCACAATACCAAAATGTTCTGCTGAAAAATGTATAACCTTAATGTTCTGGTCAAATTAAAGAATAGGTTAAAACATGAAGTGGCAATGAATAAAAAAAAGGTCCCTATACAATCGATTATTCTTCCTGTGAATGGGTGCACTCTGTATCGCTCATTTTCTGGGTTTTTTATAGAAAACAAAAATTCCGATCCTGCTAGTGTAAATTTTTTTAAACTGCATGTATGCAGCTGATTCTGGAGCTGACCTAAAAAGAGTATTTTTCGTCTTCCTCTTCCTTTCTTTCGGTGTGTTTACTGTGCTTGCAGGATGTGTTATTGGTTTCCATTCTCATATGAGTGCACTGACCTTCTTTGACTATTCTCCATGGACTGAATAAAGTATTGTGCAGTCTCAAGTGGGGGAAGCGCTCATCCTCCTGGAAGCTTTCATTCAGTCTGCAGAGGATTGGGGAGATGGTAGCATGGCCGAACCTGAATGCGGCTGCGGCGAACACGTTGGCGATAGAGGGGTCCACAGATGGATCGTACCCCCTGTAGGGACCAATGTAATGTTTGAAGGACTCTGGGCCAATGATTTTTGGAGCATAGTCTCTTAGGGTTATGATCTGGGAATAAAAAAAGAAAACGGATGGACATCAGAAAAAGGGAAAAAGCGCAAAAGATTTTATGTGTCTATCACCAAATTCTAAATTCTATACTGAGTTTGAATAGAAGCATACTTTACAAATAAATACAAAATATCCTCTTTGAATGCCTGAAATGATATCTGTGAATGTGTATATACATACAGCTAAAGGAATCCCTGTAGGATTACCAGTGAAATGTCTACTTGTATAATAACCCTGGCTGTGATTGCACGCTTGTTTCCTCACGGTTTACTGCAGAGAATTTCATCTGTCCTCATCACTATTTATAAATGCCTCACTTCAGCATCCGAATCTCGACTCATGTCACAAGGGTGCAACCCCACACACACAAAAATGCACGGAAGCCAACACATACATTAGTGAGATATCGTCCATCATTTTTACATCAGTTAGTTATTTATTGCAAAAGGAAGCACTGGAACCACACACAGTAAAATAACCAATTTGGATTTTATGCACATTTTTTAGATGAAATGATTAGAGCACAATGGGAAAGATGGAAAAACCAGGTATTCCCCTCAGGGTTTATGTGGCCCACACAACCTTCACCAATACAGAGTTTAGCAGGTCTAAACTCTGTACTGCCTAAACAGAAAAAAACAGGAGGAAAAAAGAAAAGTCAGAGAAAAGTCACAGTGACAACTGACAGAAAATCAGCTCAAATTCATATAAGATTTTTTATGAACTCAGGCCACATCACATCTGGAATTTGGCTCCTGGAAAAACAATTCAAAGAGGTTTTGAGCATGACTGAAAAGTGAGAAAAAAAAACTTTCCTCAGGTTCAAGACAAGAAACTGAAGTATCTACCAAGTACAGGAGCCCAGTGAGTCACATATTACAGGATAGTAACCAAAACCATATATTAGACTATTGCAGTCCACCAATTACAGATCAGACAGGCTGATCAGACATTACATTAAAACTATCAACAAGTGAAGTTACTAAAATTCATCATCATATTAAACTGGAATGTGCTGCTGGTAACACTGATGCAAACCGTTTACTCATTCCATGGCGACTCCAGCAGCCTCCCATTGCAGACACATGCAGATACATCACAAAACTGCAAAATAATTACTTAAAAACAGGAAATATCCCAAGGTTTGAACCCTCAATCCACAGAGGGCCCACTTTACAATTCACAGGTTGCAAAGGACCAACTGTCAAACACCTTAATGGATCTCATTTCCAGGCCTCAGTGGGTCAAAGCTGTTTTAGCAGCGTGAAGGCCACGTATACAATCTTATGCAGGTGGTTTTCATGTTGTGGCTGATGAGTGTTGGGTTTAGTATTCCATTTAATGAGCTTGTGCTTGTGTTCAACCTTTCACACACTTCATTTTATCTCCTTTACAACATGCCAGGCTTTTTTTTTTTTTGCTTGAAATTTATTCCTCACCTTCTAATTCACCCAGCTGCATTATAAGAAGAAGGCTCCTGGAAATGTAATCCATACTGTACTAGGGGTTAAAAGCCAGGCTTGGGATGGCCTTTGATTTTTCTGGCTTGGAGAAAGCCCCAAACCTTAATAAAAGTGCAGTACGGAATTTTAAAAGAGCTCCTTTAATAAAATAACAAGTAAATTCACAGAATTATTTTCTAATTGTTATTGCACGCTGTATGATTTGCAGTTGAATTGAATTTTCAGATAATGAAGCTCATAAATGTGATGCTGTTCAACAGCTGAGGCTCTTACTTAATGGACTGAAGCACTTTAGGCGAAGCAGGTCTGGCCCTTCAAACTGTATCGTTTTTTTTCTCCTTTCTTTTTAACAATAATTCTCCCGCTATGTCTCTCCCACTTTACAAATAAATAGAACATAATGATATTGCCTCTACACTTCTGGAAAAGCAAAAGCCCTTCACAACTGTGCACTGTGATTGAAGTCAGAATGAAACCAGATGTTGTTAGCTGATCATTTCTTGTTTCCTGCAAATAATAGGCTTTCTCTCTGTATTGAAATGGCTTCTGACCTTTCAGTCTGTTTGTTCTGCAAGTCTTGTAGAGTGATGTTTTGAAGTGGCTGCCCACAAACAGTCTACTGGAAACAAAGTACGGATAGTTTCACCTGCCTGCTCCCCACTGTTTTCACTCACAGCCTGAGCTGCAGATTTTATGTTACTTTTTTAGTACATGGGAATATTTAATGATACAAAATAATAACACAAACCTTTTGCTGACTCGGGTGTAAAGCTTTTCATTAAGTTGTTTCCATATGGTGACCTATTTAAGTGTTTTCTTCTAATTAGAGTACGTTGTGAGTGTGTGCATTTCTGGCTTTGATTTTTATGTCCATGCTAAAATGTGTAATCTTCAAAGAAATGTTTTCTGTATATACTTTAAACACACCCAGTCTCTGTTAGTGTTGTAGCATACCCGGTGTAGGAGGAGCAATGCAGTACGACAGCCACACGGTCAAACAATGTAAACATCCATAAAATATTTGCTCGCATTCCTGTTGATGTCCAACCAGAAGAAAACAAATCTCCATTTCTATGCAGATCAGTTAAATTAGATTTTTATAATTAGTATTCCAGTACAGTTAGAATGGAGGGGGCAACTGACCAATATTTTTGGATTGATAACTCTGACATAAACAGTGTAGCCACAGAAACATACTACGTCTGCAGGTATGCATCAACTGGCATCCGCCTTAAAACACTTCCCAGCCTAATTGCTACCTACAGTACCTTTGGCCTGAAAGTGGGTTTTTCTGTTAGCAATTACTGATGTAGTGCATAATTTAAAGCATTAAAGTTGTGCTTTTACAGTAGCTTGTCAAGAATAATGCAAAATGAAAAACAGCATTCTAAAAAACACTCACCCCGTGTGAGCTTGTTTGTCGGGAACAGCTGCAGGAGGATTTTAAAGTGGGGTGGAGGGGGTGGAGGGCTTCGTGAGAGCTGTTGGGATTCAACCATATGGACCGAAAAGCACAACAAGGAGCTGATAGCTGCTGAAAGGACTGCAGTTAGATGCTTTTCCCCCCAGAGGGACACAATTACAGCAAACTTCCACATTACAGGAAGACATTTCAGTCCTGATATTAAAGATCCTTCTCAGTGGCGCTGCTATGTATGCCTCAATTATTATTAAGAATTAGAAGTTAATAGCTGTTGCAGGTAAGTTGTTTAGACAAGTGTTACCGAATGGTTTCTCGAACACTCTTGCATCTCGAGTGACCCTGTTTAGTTCCTATCTGTTTATTTTGGTTGGTTTCTTTCTCACCTGATCAGTGATTGACAACGTTAACGACGCCTACATCAAGTTCCAGTATTTTTATTTTGCATACAAGAGCTCACACTTAATGGAAATGAGTCACTGTTAACAAAATTAGTTTCATCTGTGTTTTTTCTCTGTTGGCTCCACAGAAAATGTCTACTGTGGAAAAAAAGCAAACGTGTTTTTTTTTCTCTCTAATTAACAACTCATTAGACTGAAAACCTGATTAACCGTCAACATTTTTACCAGAAAAAGGCACAAAAACTACACCAGTTCCTGAAAACTGAGAATGTCTATGAATAGTCAGATTTGCTTAGGAAAGTTTCACAATTAAAAGCTGGTCAAAATCTCTAAATAATAAGGAAAGGTGGGTCTTTATTACATCTTTTACCAAAAGATTCACTGGACTATCCTTCCTATGAAATGAAAGCAGATAATTACTGCTCTAATTCATGAAAACAGTAAACAAAACGAAGTGGTGCAGATCATGTCAATCTTAAATATAAGCATGTTTTCTGTTTCATGCCATAACCTGCTGATATGTTTTCCATTTTCAAAAACATCCTGTTAAACCCAACGTGATGCTGCTGTAATAAAATCTGCTACTTGTCCAGTTGCTGCCTTGCATGAAGAAAGTAGTGGTTAATAAGTTCTCTAAATCCAGAATATACAGCGTACTAACTGATCGAAGTTCATCTATTTCATGGTCCTGAGTCTTATCTCTTGCAGTTCTCTATTTAGTCCTTTGAGAATATTTTCTCCTGGTGATTCTGACTTCAACTTTTCTTCAGTTCCTTATTTGACGACTTTCGTTCCCTTCGTATCCTGTCTGTTCTAGTCTCATCTTTGTGCTCTGTCTTCTGTATAAAGTCTTTCTTGTCACTATGTTCGTTTCACTCACTATCTTTTTTTCAAGTATGCATTCCTGCATTCTGTTACTTCCTGTTTTATTTTGATAGTCTCCCTTCTGTTATGTTCAGTTTTGCTTCCCTTGTCTCATCAGTTAGATTCAGTTCAGCTGTGTGATTTTCCCCCACACATGTCCACTACCACAGTCACCTTCCTGTGTGTACAATGTCTCAGTCTCCCTTCTCAGAGTGTCAGTTCACCTTCCCTCTGCACTTCTGATGTCCCTTCAGATCAGCTGAGGTAGGTGATTGATCTAAATAATTTTACATTGTTTGTAGAAATCTTAAACAAGGAAAGGAGGATGGAGTTGCATTAGATCATGAAAAATAAGCATATTGTTTTTAGTTTATTATTTCTGGCATATGTTGCATTTTTTTAGTCCAATCTCTGGAATGAAGTGATATTTGAGGACAACAGGTAAAACTGTTGCTGTAAGGAAAAATGCATATGTTGTAGTCCATCTTCTGAACTTTGGGCTTTCATGCATTTCATACATGCATTATACAGTCGAGTGTAAAAGCAGCCTGATCCCCTGAAGTCTGTATGAAGTTTCCTTTCACTTTAAATAATTATTCGATCACAACTTAGCGACTCCTAATCCGGGACTAGATGGTAGATGATGATATTTACTAGAGCTGGGAGATACTGTAATGGTGACTCATGTGGACAATGATTAATTCATAATGATCTCATCCTACCTTTCTTCACAAGTACGTTCTCTGATTCAAACACTGAGAACATTAATCAATCATTAATTCATCACTGGTTGCTCCAACATCAGTTTACATCAAGTAGTAAACCATCATACCAGGTATTTACTCAGTCGCCCTTAATTACTTCAAAGTTACTCCATCAGTATCAAGCTGTTGCTGTCAAGCCTCATACTTTCCAAATGCTTGTGGGATTACATTTTCTACATCTGAAAAAGCAGATCTCCTAGTCTGCAGGCCTTGCTAAAAACAGTCAACAAATCTGTCATGTATTAAAAAGTTCTTGTAGTTTAGTTTTGAATTCTCTTACTCCCCCTTCTGTACTACTTTAATTCTTTTTTTTCTCCCCCTTTTGTTAAAATAGATAACGGTACATTCTGCTGATTTGCAGGCTGGTCAGACTAGATAGTCCCCCACTTTTCACTCTGCTTCCAATACAGGGATTTTCCAAGCTGGTCATAGCTTCAGTATGTAAATCCTTTACCTGCCTTTTATGCTTCATCCTCTCAAATTATTTAAAGAACCCTTCCACCTTAGGCCATCTCTTTTTAATATTGTAAATCTCTTTCCCCTTGCATTGTCCCTGAGTCACCTGAAAATACTAGTTTCTAATCCACTGCTGTAGTCAAATGTCAGCACACAAAATCTGACTTATTTTCCCCTTGCTAATAAAATGTTTGGGGAAACTTTAAGATAGCGCCAGGGTCACCGCTCCCCTTCGGTATAAGCAACAAATCCTTTGCATTCAATCATAAAACATTTTCTTCGTTACTTTTCATGAAGAATGTACACACGCTTCCTTCATCATTAATCGCCCTCTGCCTGAAGCTGAAAGGAATAGTCCAATCAGTCATTGTAGTGCACAACGTGCCTGCACCCAACACCACTGAGATGGTAACAATTTCTGCTAAGCTCTGAAGCCTGGCCTGCCACAAAATGTGCGATCTCATCTTTAGCAGTAGTAAAAAGCGTATCTATTGGATAATAAAGACACATAAATATAAATAAAATGAGAGAGCCATCATAGCTGTGATGCCATCTGTTACTTCATTATCAAGAACCTACAAAGAAAGAACAGACTCGTGTTTTGTTTGGAGCAAAACTGAGGAAATGTAGCTGCTTGCATTTACTGGCTGTTTCTGTGGACTGGAGGGACACAGTGCTACAAATACACTGACCAGTTCAGTGGATACGTCAGTTTCCAATTTGAAATCAGGCAGATAATTAACAGTAATTATTTGGGGACATGTTTCTGCACAAATTAATGGTAGCTAGGTTTCTTAGCTGTTTGGTGCTGGGCAAGATTCTTAGAGGAAGCTTCAAAACAACTGCTGGGTAAAGGTGTTGACTGGAAAAAAAATAAGGTGATTCGCATGATAATTTTCTGTTGTTCTGTCTCTAGCGACTACAAGCAGAGACTTGCAAATATGTATAATATTAATGTGAACGGTGTTTAAGATAAAATGGTTCCCTGCAGCTAATTTATACCAATTTATGGGCTTAGGAGTTGCAGTTTTCAGATATGAAAACTGCAGCATCACCAGCAATGACAGCAAAGCAGGGAATTCCATGGCTGGTTGATCCTCACAGTCATCAGACTTAAAACAGCAGCTGTCAGGGTCGGACAACTTCTGAATTCATTAAATCAGCAGAGCTTTCCCCATAGAGAAGGCTTTTCACTGTTTATCTTCATAATGTCTCGCTCAGCTCGCAGAGGGAACTGTCATTCTTATACATGGCGCTAAAACAAGAACTCCATCTTCACTTACTGTAAACGGCACAAAAAGCCACATTGCTGAAGATCTCACACGCTTCATCAACCCTAACTCAAGTTTAATTTATTTCTCGACCTTGGAAATCGAGTAGTTGCTGCTTTGGAGCTGTTAGTAATAACCTCAGATACTACTGCAAAAAGACTTATGGAAATAATGTTATTGTTACAGGGACTTAACAACATTGAAGCTAGATAACACAAATCAATTTAACTACAGGAACGTCTTAAAGACATAAATGTCTCGCGTAATGTTCTTTTTCCAAATTCAGACCAAAATGTAATTATTGTACTGTACTATAAAGGTCTCAAAAACATGGAGTCTAACAAGATACGCACTTGGGATGGGATTACCTTTGCCACCAGAAACACAGTGAGGAAACTTGGAGTGATTTTTGATCGGGAGAAGTCAACATTCATCTTGAAAACAATGCAGGACTGCTTTCTTTTATCTGATCAGTGAAAAAGAGAAAATCCTCTAAGTGATGTTGAAAATCTAGTTTGTGCTTTTGTTACTTCTTCAGTAAGGTCTTGAATAATTAGACCAGGGGTCCCCAATCCCAGTCCAGGAGGGCCGGTGTCCCTGCAGTTTTTAGATGTGTCCTTGATCCATCACAGTTGATTTAAATGACTAAATTACCTTCTCAACATGTCTTGAAGTTCTCCAGAGGCCTGGTAATGAACTAATCATGTGATTCAGGTGTGTTGACCCAGGGTGAGATCTAAAACGTGCAGGGACACCGGCCCTCGTGGACTGGGATTGGGGACCCCTGAATTAGACTGTGGTTCACTAAATGCAGACTGGGAGGCAGAGCCTTCATCTTTCAGACCTCTCTCCTGTGGAACCAGCTCCCAGTTTGGTTTCAGGAGACACACACCCTCTCTATTTTTAAGGTTTCGTTTTTGATGAAGCATATAGTTGAGGCTGTATCAGGCGACCCTGAACCATCCTTTAGTCTCACTGCTACAGACCCATACTGCTATTGTACCTACAGTGTCACTTTTTAATGTCAGATAGGTTTAAAATGAAAAACACAGTAAATGGAGACAATGTTGTCTAAGACACTTTTTCTGCCTCAGCTTTAGGGATACAAGATTTTTATTTTTAAAAAGTGTATAGGTTATAGGTTTCTATACTTGTAGATTGTCACAAGAGCATACATGTCGTGTGTTGTTTTATTGTATGCCTGCAATTTCTGTGCATCACAGAAATACCAGAGTTTTGTTTTCCATGTGCACAGCAGCTTCAGACACAATACAGTCAATGCGTTATAACCTCAAGTAACTTCAAATGAAAAGAATCGCTTCTTTTCTTTTATACATCTCATTCATATCAGCTCTCCCACGTAATTGTGACACACTCGCATCTGCAGACTCTGAAATCACTGTGCTCATAAATGCTAGATTAGTTTGTTCCCCCTCAGGCATCATTTGTGTTACTCGGCAGAAGCTTTATAGCTGCGAATCACAGTAGCTTTTATTTTCATCATATTCTGCGTCTAGTGTCGTAGCTACGCTTATTTAACAGCGCTGGTGATCGAGGACGGTATGTCCAGATTTTAAAGTCTAAAACGCCCCACTACTTGTGAATCCATTAGAACTTTATTGTCTTGCCTTCACACAGATTAGAGCACAACCTGCATTTCTTTCATTTCTAAACCATCCCTCTCAAATTTGATCTAGTACCCTTTTGAAGCTTTTTCAAAGGTTAGCGTGCCTGTGAATGCAAACGGTGCTTCTTCTGTGGTAATACTAGGCAGTTAATGTTAAACATTAAATAGCAGAAATTGAATTATGTTTGTTTTCCTTGAGCGGCCAAGCATGCAAAACTGAAAGTAGCTTTAGGGTGGGACAGGGGTTTGACAAATTTTAGATTTAGTTTTAAATGACTAAAATCACTATTAGCCTACTTGAGATGTTTATAATAAAAACAAAATTGGCAATATAAAAAGTCACACAGGCCTGGAGACGGTTGGCAACCACTGGTCAACTAGGAAAAATGTATTTCTTGACCGGTTGGCGAGTGGCTGCTGGAAACTGCTGACTATCAACCTCATGTGAAGGCAGGTGAATCTGGTCACAGAGAAGGTGCTGTGACAAAACTTTCCTGTGACTGCTTTGGTTACTTGCACAGTACTGCAGTTTGCATGGGAGATGCTGACTCATCGCAAGTACTTGCAAAGTAGCCTTGAGAGTGCGAAAACTTGAAAGAGAAAAAGTGTGATGCAACCTGGAAATATAGAGTTTACAGTGCTGAAAGCTTTTTTGCCTTTCTGCTGCAGATTGCTGCTACATTTCAAAATGTGCAACTTTTATTCTGAAATGACAGATTGCAGACTTTGCATAAATGAATCTGAGCAGAATCCAAAATATTAGCCTAATGAATTCATCAAATTAATCAGTCTAATTACCTTTGTGTGCCTACTTGAGTGCTAGTAAATTAACATTTTGGATACTTTCTTTTAAATTCAGTAGTTTGTTCAATGAATTACATGAAATGTCAACTGAAACTGAATTTTTTGTGTCACTTTTTACATCTGATTCAGTTGGGTTTGGTTGTCACTTACCTGGTGCAGTGCACCTATGATCTTACGAGTCTCTTGGTATATCATCTCTGGGCTCCAGTGACCGTTGATGTGTTTCAGTGCCTCTGCAATTCGATTGTGTTCTCTGAGCCACAGCGTGTGCAAAGAAGTCAGAGGCAGACCTTCGCTGACCCGGTTGTCTCCTGCACTGAAGCATTCAACTCTTTCCCCTTGCAGATCTTGGTGGCAGGCTGATGGCAGCTTGGTTACAAATGGGAGATAAGGCCTTCCTTTTGGATCTTTGAATCGGGCATTGACAGCAAGTTTTCCATTACGGCCAGGAAGGTCACGAAGGAAGCTCTCCAGCTTTTGATTGTGGCCGTAGACAGCAGAAGCATCAATGAATGAAGTCATGGCATTGAGCTGTTGTCGCTGCAGGGCTTGTCTTATACCAGACTGAAAATTGACAAAGCAGTCTGATGTGGAGCGAAAAAATGGCATACAGCCTTGTAGACCATCATTCATCTGCAGAGAGGATAGAATCATTTACTGATCATTTAGTGCTTCCAGTAAACTTTAAACTACTGCTGATCTACCAAATGCATTTGTTGTCGTCTTTGTCATGGAATTTTGAAGGCCCAATTCACATTTGGAAAAGTAAACGTATGTAATATAAAGCAATGCCTTATCCCAGGGTGAAAGGTGTCATTTTGTCAGATGTCACCTGCAAAGTAGGATGGCATTAAAAAGGACTGACTGGGCTCCTGCTAATAACTAAAGGCAGTTGGAGAAGTCTATAACTCTGGGCAGGTGACCGCTTGTCATCTAGCTAGCTGTAACATCTATGCATGGTGTGAGATTTTTCTCATGCACTCGGTCTCCAGATTACCATGGCTTCCATTTTTTCCATAGTTTAAAGCTAGCTGTCATACAAGTACAGAGGGTCCTATAGTACAAACAGGCCTGGTGACAAAAACATTAACACCATGCTCTTGAACTTTTCAAACAAGGATGCACAGCTCTGTCCATCACCACCACCAGGGAGTTCATAGCAACAGAGATTTTAAAGTTTTTGTTTTTAATGTAAATGGGTTTTTTGGGAAGTACTACAATGAACCTATTACTGTGTTATTTTATGTATTTAAATATGTGATTATCTCAGGATCAAACTGGGTGAGCTTCACTGGGCTGCTATTGTGCAAAAGTCCAGGAAAAAAGGGATTTTTTATTTTTTACACAAACAAGTGCAAGCAACAAAAATAAAGAAAATGATGGATTCTCTGTTTACCTTAATAGGAAAGCACGGATGCACATTTTCACACGTTTTTAAACAGTCCACATCTGACCCATCGGTGCTGGTGCTTTGAGGCGTCAGGGTTATGTCATGGGATATATACTGGCCCCAGTCCACCAGCAGCTGAGAATAGGAATCATCTTTCCATTTAGAAGCACTCGTCATTATTTCCCTGCTGACTGTCCGGGCCTGTAGACAAAGCAGGATTTGTATTTTGTAGTGCTCAAGTAATGCAACACATGAAGTATCAAGATGTTGTTCACTCACTGTGAGTCAATAAGAAATGGAATATTAGGACTCTGATTTATTATCTGAAACACTGTAGTAAATTGTTGGCTGGATACAAGTGATGCATATTTGATGAGTTCTCCAACTAAAGGCCCTCACTCTGTGTAATGAATGCATAAATTAGGACTAAAATTGAATTCAAGTGTGAGCAAAACGGTTTCATCTGCTTTTTTGGAAGAAATTATGTTTATCCATATGATAAGAAACCAACTGTTTTTAGGTTATGGATGTAGTGTATACACTAGATGCAATATATAAATGCGGTTCTAATCTATGTCATCTTACACTCTCCTGTGCTCTTCCTAAATTGCTGTGGACGTTATCTGCTGTGAAACAGGTGAAGAAAAATAAATGAAATGCTACATTAACTCAGGGTTTTGCAGGGCGAGCCGGCTTCATTTCTACATTTCTGTAATTTATCCACCAAGACTTTTGTGTCTGTTGGACCGGTATTTTGTAGATTACCGGGGGAAGTTGGAATCCATTATGGAGCCGTTCTGGGTTCCAGCCTTTTGGTTCGCTCTCCCCGTCTTCGTATTCAGCTGGTAGCCATCTGACCAAGGCAGTGTTGGCTGCTCCCCAGCGAGGATTTTGCCTGACAAAGAGAAACATGAAGTGTGTCCAAAAATACTGCCATGCAAAACTGTATAACCCCTTACTGAAAGCATCATCCAGTTTTCTGGATTATTAAGGTTTAAAATGGTGCATTCAGTACATTCATATAAATTAAATGTACAGAAATGACAGTATCTGTTTTGACGGTTAGTTTGTGGTTATGATCCTGTGAGAAACATCATCGTTGCTGCACATTGACTTAGGATCATTGCAACAGCATCATTTTTATGCTCTTAAATGACTGTTTAAAACCAAAAAGGATTGCAAGAACCTGTCATGTATTTATTTTTTTGTTGCCTTTTGCCTCCTCGTCAACAGCTGGCACACACATTACACACAAGATAACTTATCAGCTGGCGGCTGACAAACATTTCATAGTTCCAGCTTCTTGATTTGAGAATTTTCTACTTTCCTTTTAATTAGACATCACAAGCGAGGGAAGAAACCAAATGATAATAAATGCTCATAGGCAAAACATGCCCTCCTTTATCACCATAATTTACAAAATTAACATTATGACAACATTAAGGCTGAAAACTAGCATTTGACCCCAATCTCTTTAGGAAAGTAAAGTAACAAGGAGTCACCCCCCCACATGCCAGACAAACATAAGTATTTTAGACCATGTGCAGGCTTTATCATGTTGGCATGAACATGGGGTTTATCAATGTGTCACCCCCCCCCCCCTTTTTTTTGGCCATTATAAAAAAATAATAATTTAAATAACCCCTGTGCAAGGGTTCTAAAGGGTGAGTTTACCCGCAGAGGGCAAGACTGCCTTGCACCAGGCAGAAAATATACTCTTTAAAGCTGTAAAGTGGGGTCTTTAAAATGGGCAAACTATAGGCTTTCACTTGCTTTTGAAGTCGGACTCAAGTGGGCAGTGCAGGAGTGGAAGTTTTTGAAGGGGCTTAGCTTAGGAAGCAGGTTCACCTGTTCCCCTGCGAGGAAGAGATCGTGGCTCGTGTTGCATTTCAGTAATTAAAAATAATGAGAAATTATGAATATACAAATTATTGATGAATCAACATTTGAAACTTGACAGGTACTTGAATATTCAAGAATGTTGACTAGTTCAGGAAGTTTTTATTTTTAATTGTTTGAGAAATGCTTTACTAAAAACAGCATGCAGTGAAGTGAACATAACTAAATATATTTCATTAAGTTTAAGATGATGCTGATGATTATTAATACATTTATTTGCTACCTGTATGCATCGAAACTATCAAAACAGATAATGGCTTTTCTAATCCTGACATACTGTAGTTTTGCCTGGAGGCCTAATTATGTGCTTGCTAAGACAAAATTTACATTGGATATGAAATGAAGTTTTCATTTAGGGGAAACAGTTGTTCAGATGTCATTTTAACTACCTGTTGTTGCAGAGTCCTGATATCAGTCGATACTTGTAGAGATGGGTGTACCGACAGGTGGCTGGACTTGTAGGAGGACATTTTGACAGCTCTGCAATCAGCTTCAAATGTTTCCATGACAACAGTTGTTCTTGAGCTAGAGTAACAAAGCAGGCAGAGTTGGACTGATTGTTATGAAACTTTTAAATCTGAGCAAACATTATTGAAATTCTGTTGCTGATCATATGTGGCCGGTTAAACTGTTTTACAATGACAGAATTAGTAAAGGTGGTCTGACTAAAAATGTAATGAAAACTTTTCTAAATGTTCCATCCAAGGTGAAACCGAGTTTACTAAAAGAAAGTAATTCTACCGGGTGTTGTGAGCTCCTGATTATATCTCTGTTTCACTTTCTTCTTTAGGACACGAAGAGTCTTTTGGAAAACCTCTGCAGCCCTAGAAATGTGCTTCGTCTCAGGGTCGGCTTGCCGAAAAAATTTAAGCATGTGTTGGGAAGCTGAGGGTTTGGTCCACCTAGCGAGAAAAACAGATAAAAGGGCAGTTAGAGTTCCTTTGATCCTTTTCTGCACAGATTATTTGAGGTAAAACTGAGGCTGACAATCTGTGATGGCGTATTACCGTTGCCTGACGTCGAGTAAGTCTTCATCTACATCATAAAGGCTTTCTTGATGTGATGAAATAAGTAATTCTTTGATGGATGAAGCTGGAAAATGTATTTTTTGATCAGCATGAGACATTTTAAAAATATCATTTGATCTATCATGTTCTTATTCTGTAATGATGATATTAAATATACATGGATCAAAGTAACTTGTTTCTGAGATGCTACAAAGTAGTTCACACTGGGAGTAGTTGAACACCAAAACATGACTAAGTAGATATACCGTTTGAACTAAAACTAGAAAAAGGAATAACAAAAACAATAATTAAATTGACAATTCACATGTGACGTTTCATTTTCAGTTTATCAGTGAAACTGTTCAAGCATCATGCATTTATGTGAGCAGACTAAAGACACGGAGATCTCAGGGAGAGATCTGGGGCATTAAAACACGATGACGTTAATGCTGCGTAAGCACCGAGCAACACTTGTCCTTTTCCACTGCATAAAGTTCAAGTGGCTCAGTGATGAATGCATGACCGGTGCGTTCCTGCACAGCGGTCGGGATTAAAGAAAAAATGGAAGGGGAATGGTCAAAGGGGTTTCAAGGATGGGGAATGTAAAGTACAAGTGAAAACCTGTAGTTTCTTATTACAGTGCAAAACCGATAGTAATCTGAGTAACAACCACAAGTAAAAAGTAACTAAACTGTTTGACTCACTAACAACATGTGAAGGTAGTTAAGCTACAGCCAGTCTTCAAAATATAGTTAAACAACAACAACAACAACAATCTTTATTTATAGAGCACATTTAAAAACCAGCGGTATACCAAAGTGCTTAACATAAGAGACAGAGAAGTAACACGAGTATTATAAGGCCTTAGCAAAGTATCAAATATACTCACAGGCCAATGCCACTAATACAAAGGGGTAATATAAAATGCATATTAGAATAAAAAGATAATAAAAGCACAAGCCACAAAGTACAGCAGATTGTTTTGTTCACTTCTGCCACACTGCTTTGTACTAATGTACAGTACTTTTTAAATATTATGTGGTATTTGAGTCTGTACTTTACTTTAATATTTCAAAATTTAAATATTGATAACTTGAGAACTATCCACATGTGTTTTTAAAACGGTTGATATTTCTAGTTGTTACAAGTGAATTTTCACTGCTTTTCACATACTTAACTTACTTAACTAACTTACTTTAAAATAAATAGATGCCATTTTAGAACATTAAATTAAGTAATTTGTCTGGTATTTGGGCGGCACGGTGGTTTGCGTGGGTTCTCCCCCAGTACTCTCCTCCCACAGCCCAAAGACAGTTAGTGGGGATAGGTTAATTGGAAACACTAAATTGCCCATAGGTGGGAATGTGTGTGTTAGCCCTGCGACAGACTGGCGACCTGTCCAGGGTGTACCCTGCCTCTCGCCCTATACAGCTGGGATAGGCTCCAGCGCCCCTTAAAAGGACAAACAGAAGCTGGATGGATGGATATTAAATCAAGTAATTTGTCCAGTATTTGCAGTTTTTATTATTAACGTAGCATTCAAAATGTTGGTATTAACAAAATATTAAAATACACATTAAATCATGTGATTTTAAATGATTAAAATAAGGCAACAAAAGGTAAAAGTGTTCTCTTGAACTTTACTGTGAACAAACATTGTTTGTTTTAATGTAATAATGGATGGATAATAATGGATTTATATAGCGCTTTTCTAGGCACCCAAAGCGCTTTACAATGCCACTATTCATTCACTCTCACATTCACACACTGGTGGAGGCAGCTACAGTTGTAGGCTGCCCTGGGGCAGACTGACAGAAGCGAGGCTGCCATATCGCGCCATCGGCCCCTCTGGCCAACACCAGTAGGCAAGTAGGGTAAAGTGTCTTGCCCAAGGACACAACAACCAGGACAGAGAGCACAGGGATCGAACCGGCGACCTTCCGGTTACAGATGTGATTCCCAACCCCCTGAGCCACGGTCGCCCACAATGTAAATGACTCTGTGCAGAATCCTAAATATTTCTGTATCCAGTCAACTTATTTAAGCAGTGCATCAAAAAAATTGAAGAAAAAATACAATAAAATAATTTTCTCTTAAGAAAAATGTGTTGGATACAGTAGATCTGGTTAAATCAAAACTTTAGTAATGTGCCATGCACTGTGATATTGCTTGAATAGAAACTTCTAAGAGGACAGTGCATGGCACATTACTAAAGTTTTGATTTAACCAGATCTACTGTATCCAACACATCCAGCTCTTTTCTCTGAGGGAGAAAAGCAACTTCAGCACTGACAAAGAATTTGCTACATGAAGACAAAGTTCTGGTGAAAGAAAGCTGATAGTGACCCCAAGGGAGGAGTAATCTTTAAATGATTTCTCAGAAGTAAAAACAAGATGAAACTCTTGGGATGATGTGTGAACGCTCCCTCTCAAGGATCTCTGGGTTAGCCTTGTGATGGTGTCAATCCTCTCGTCCATTGAGCGAATGAATTAGATAAGAGGTTACAAAGACATATGGATGGAGGTTTTTAATGAGATGACTGGGGAAATAATAGAAACGTGGACTGAACCAGCTCCATGCTGGCCAAGAAGCATCCCATCCTTGAGAGCTATGTTTTGATGTTGTTGCATAGTCACTGACCTTAGAACTCATTTAAGGGCACTTAAAAGACCAAAGAACCTATTTCTGAGTAACTTGTGTTATTCCAAAGAGTCCATGTAGCTCAAGTCATGGTCAGGCTTAGCGGTGCCTTTTGGGGCACAATGACCTGACAATTTAGCACCATTTACTTTGCTTCCACTGAAGCCCTCAAGGACTATTTATCCACCCAGTGATAGTGTTCACTGTGTTCTTATCTGAAGAACTATACTTCAGTACCAAATAACAATATGTCCTGATACTGATATCATTTAACCCTCGTTCTCAGTAATAACTAGAGACACTGCCTAAAATTTCTCTGCACAGGCTGGTTCATAATAAATGTATTGCACCAGTGAGCAGTATGAATTATATTCTGAAATCTATTTTCTGGGTGAGAAGAAGCTGGTTTCATATACCCCAAATCCTGAAATTATCCTGAAATCATACTTGGTTGATTATAGGTTTCACTCTAATTGTAAGGCTGAAGAAGTTGAAAGCTGCATAAAATGTGCTTTCTTATTCCATTACGTACATTATAGCCGTGCCCAAAAAGAACATCAGTCGTTTCAGTTCTTCCAGTTCAATTCATGAATTTTATCTAATATTTATAAATGATCCAATATTTTTCATGACAGTTTCAGCAAATACATAAAATGCACAAATAAAAATATACTTACCGGTCAGTGTTTTGACATCATCTGCTGTAAAACTTGGAAGAGAAATGCAGGAAATCATTACAAGGCAAAGGCAATGAAAGTATGCCATTCTTACTGTCACCAACAATCCAAGATCTGAGAGCTGTGTTTGTGGTGCAGCGTGCACTTGTATACTGAGAAACCTGGGAGCCCAATGCCATGGTTAAGTAAACCAGCTCACACTTGAGTAACTCAGAGACTTGGTGTTTCTCTTGTTCTCACTTGAAGTATTTTTACATTTTTTTTCTCCTCTCTTCTTTTCTTTCTGTTTCTACATCTTTTGTAACAAACGGCTTGAAAATTCAGTGATTTGTGTTCATTTTAAGTGAAGATAAACTCTCCTGCTAGAGACGTTGCTCAAAAGTAATTGACTAACAGAACTTTAAATACAAGGATTATTTTTAATTATTTATGAAAATCTTTTGCAGTCTGGGACTGTTTGACGTTTCCTCCCTTGAGATGCTCTGCCAGGCCTTTACTGCAGTGACCTTCAGTTGCTGCTTTTTTGTGGGTCTCCCTGCCACCAGTTTTGTATATAATAACTGAAAAGTTGTTCTATTTTGTTGAGATCAGGTCACTGACTTGGGTGCTTCTGCTTCTGTCAGTAGTCACATCATCAGTAAACACCAGTGACCAGCTTCCACTGATAGCCATGCATACACATGCCATAACGGTATCTACACTGTGTTTGAGAGATAATGTGGTGGTATGCTGTGGATCATAATCAGGTTTGCTCCTTGCTCTCCCATCATTCTGCTACAAGATAACCGCGGTTTGTCTACAGCATTTTTCCAGGACTGTGCAGATTCTTTTAGAGGTTTAATGACAAATCTTTCTGGCCTTCCTGTTCTTGAGTGGAAGCAATGGTTTGCACCTTGTTATAAACTCTCTATATTTCCATTCTTGAAGGCATCTCTTCATTGTAAACCTTGTCAATAATATCCGAGAGTGTTCTTTTCTTGGCTTGGCCAGATGTTGTGAAGTTGTTTCTTAACTTCCGTGATGTTTCAGGCCTTTTACTGCGTTCTTTCTTGAAGACAAGATTTTTGATTTGGCCACTAATAAAGATTTTGCTCTCCCTCTCTGGTTATTTTGTTTTATTCGGGATAATGATAGCCTCCTTTCCTTGTACTGACCTCTTTTTGGACTTCATATTCAAAATTAAATTGAAAAGTACAAATGCAAATGCAACACCTCGAGTCAACTTCAGATACAGAGTCTACTTTATTTGGCATGAAATAGGTGACGGGCCTTGTCATGAAACCCCTTGTCAGTCAAATTTCTGATTTCTTTTTAGCTTCTTTCAATTTTTATTAATAAAATTCAACCACATCTTTGTTGTTTGATTTAAAATCAATTGTGGTGGTGCACAGAGGCAGTCTCTACATTCTCGGTGTGAAAAATGAAGAAGTGCACATTTTTGAATTAAAAAACTTTGGAGGGTGACTACACTTTTTGCAGAAAGATATGATTATATTAGTCAATGGATAAAATGCCCAATAACTGTTTGCAACTTACTTTAAAAATGTAGAGCACTCTGTATCATTTATTTCTTATACTAATTTACTAACTTAATATACTAATAAACTCACCAATTAAACATGGAAGAGGATATAGATATAAGATAAATAGTTTAAACCATTATAAATGGATGTATCCACATCTCTTTTTTCATAAAGCCATCTCCACAGGGCACCTTTAAACAGAAAAGCAAGTGAAACTCAGCTATATGAACCCCAATAACAACCACTTATTTAAATAAGATCTCTAAAATGAGTTTCAATTTCCAAAATTAGCAGTTTAGTAGAGATCCGTGCTGTTAATATCATAAACATTTTTACAATGATGCTTTTCATTTAATCCATATTTTAAAATACCATGCAAAGCTGTTGTGCTGAATGTGTTGGCTGCTTAAACAACATTCAACCTAGCAGACTTCCAGAAACGCAATATTAAGGTCATCTACGTACATGTGAGGGCTTGTCAGTACCTTTTTATTTATTTTTTTTCTTCTGAAACATTATTGTTGTAATAAAAAGTACACAATAATAGCTGCAGTCATTTTTGGCAGATATACGGCCCTGCTTCCTTTTTTCCTTCCGTCCTGCTGAGTATATTTTCAGTTTTATATGCCGTCTGCAGGGAACAGTGACACAGAAAGGTCACGACAGCAGTTCCAAAATTTCCCAGAAAATTTTCCATCACAAATACTCCAGTTAGCACACGGTTTCCAATGCTGCAAGTGGAGCCAACTGTGAGAGTCACGGCCCATTGAAAGTTGAGCTCAGTGCTAGAAATTCATGCTTGACATGTTGCTGATGTAACTCCATGATGCCGTTTGTGTGTTTAGTGACTTCAGCAGTGAGCTGGAGATCATCTCACCTCTTCTTTTTTTTTTTTTTTTTTTTTTTTTTTAAACACGGTGGCTGCTTTTCTCTTTCAAGCTGTTTAAGCCCAAACTTTTCACTAAATAAATCAGAGCTTGTAGAGGATGAAGCGTGTGCATTCCTTCCACCATAGCCTGATGTATTATCATGCAAATATCCCATTTAATATCTTTTATTCAGTTTTACTGACAGTCCATCTCTAACCGCTGTTGCTTTCTGCAGTTTCCACTTTCACATCTTTTTAGAATAAAAGTCCAGCAGTAAGCACAAACTCAGTCCTTTTGTTTATTTTTACCTGTAAGTTGCATATATACATAAAACACTTACAGAGGGTGACAGTCAAAACTGAAGCAGCATGCATCAGTATGCAGCCTACCCAAGCCACAGGTTACAGTCGGCCAGTGAAGGTACATTTTTCATTCAGTTCTGTATAATAATAGAAAATCTCTTGTGTCATCTTCGTAAAACCGAATTTTATTTATTTATTTATTTTATTCAGTATAAAACAGTTTGATGTTAATATCTAATCGATTTAATAAGTTTTCTTCGTCCCACTCCTTTTTCAGGCAATTTTTGTTTTTTGTTTTGTGCATTTTATGTTCAATATAGGTATTTGTTGTGCCTGAAAATGAACAAATAAATGAAATGAATGATTGCTGTGTGGACCTTGGATTTTTTTTCTAGTAATTATCTAGTAGTATGTTAGTAAAAATAATAAATATTTGCTCCTTTAAAAAAGTTCTTATTATAGGGTCTTGCTAGCTAGAATGAAATATTGCAACACCGGTGTCATAATGGGTGTCATGTTAAAAAATGGGAATACTTCACTAGAACTAGCTGTAATGTGGCATTCCAACATTGTGTTTTATCCTTGTTACAATCACTTTGACCTGCATACAGGCATCTGTCCACCTATTTTATTTTCTTTCCTGTCGTGTCTTTACATTGCTGTGCTAGCACAGTAGTAGGAGAGCTTGGAAGTTGGCTTTTGTATTGGTTATTATTAATTAAATTTGGGGAAAGTCCTCACACTGCGGCTGCTGCTACAACCTACGTAGGAATGCAGCATTTCAAGTTGATCGTTGCGTTGATGATCAAACTGAACACTGCAGTGTTAAATGAAATAATGATCCACTTGCAACTGAACTGGAATTCACAGACGTCATGCATACACGACACAATATTTGGAATTCCAACAAAGAAGAATATCTAGTTGCGTTCCAGCAGCAGAAAGCTAGTTTTTATAATGTAGCTGCTGGCTGTTGTTAATATTGAGGCAAGGATGATGTACCAGGAAAATGACAGAAAAATGATTATTATCCTGCCCACATGTATTAAATATTTGCCACACCTGCAGTTAATTAAGAATAAGCGAACTGTGGAACTAAATGCCCAAGAGCACACCCATAGCCTTGTCGTTATGATGCACAATGAAAACACAAAAGTCACTAACAACAATCAGTTTATTTACTATCATAAAAGGAAGGGTGGGGCAGCAGCACAAAAACATGACCTGACATGTCCTGACTACCACTGTGGAAAACTGAAGGCCTTTTGGAAAAGAGATGAAAAACCTTAAAGAGACTAAAAGAAGCCCAACTGCCTTCAATTCAACCACTTTAGACTAAGAACACCTACATAGAAAGGTTTAGTCCCTCGCAGCATTGCCTCCAGGACAGGCCCCACCTGTTCTTTTTTTCTTTCTTTCTTTTCAAAGAAAGGAAAAAAAAGTACATGTGCTGTCATCACTCACCTGTGAGAAGCCAGTGCAAGCTTTTCTCTTCAACGGCACACAAGTAACATATCCTGTTGGGTTCAAACTGCTTGTGACCTTTCGACCAATGTGTATGGAGTTGGAGATGTGGTGTGACAGTTTGAGCAGTGGAAGCAGAACAGCAAAAAGGACAATGGGAATAATTAACTCTGCCCCATAGATGACAAAAATCATTCAATTAACCCGTTAATGAATTAATATGCTGGCTGGAGAACTCCAGACAACTTCACATAAACAAGAAAAGAAAGAAAAACCAACAAAACAAAAACGTCTGGGTTACTATTCCCTGGTTTATTGCGGGTAGCAAAGACAACTGTACCGAGTTAAAGTTCAAGGACCAGGAGACACAGGCTAAAGGAACAGTTTGTAAACAGCTGTCTGTTGACCTTGTACTTGTTGGTATTCTCTGATCAGTGACCTCTTGGTGAAAAGACCCAAGTTACTAACTCACAGAATTAAACTACTCAGTTTAATGAGACTGTGCTGCAGCCCAGTTCAGTTGAAAACAAGTAGTGGAACAGGCTCTTCCAATAAAACGCAGCTACCTGTGCAGCGTTTTCTTTTTGTTTTTGGAAAAGACAGAAAAAGTATTTTTGGCGCACAAATGCAGTATTAAGACAGAAATCAGCAGCTGGGCTAGCAGATTCTAAAGTGTGAAAGTAGACTCATGTAGACCCACAGGGAGCTTTAACATGCCTCGGATGACAAAGTTGAACTCTGTAAGCGATTTATTGAAACTACAGCAAACATGTTATTTAACACTAAAACCATTACAGAAAGTTGAAGATGCACAGTATTGTCACCATATCAGGATGAGATTCAGAAAAAGAATTAAAAAAAAAAAAAAAAAAAAGGACTAACAATACTGTGAAGCTTAAAATGTTGTTGTTTGCCAGAGAAATGCAACACTCTGGACGTTTGCCTTTTTATTTGATACAAAAGATGGAAACAGTAACACAAACAACTTGCAATTTATTCCAAACCAGTGAAGTACTGAAGCCTGGCACCAGCGCTGCCTTTGGGAAGTTTCTTTAATTTTAGTCTGGGCCCGTATCAGAGTGCTGTCGAGTCAACTCGGTGGTTATTTGGAGGCTATTATTTTTGCTTTTTATTGTAAGGTGCTTGCGGTACTTTTTCAGACATGACATTACTAGGTAAACCACAGGAAGTTTGGGGGGATTTAAAAAAAAAAAAACAAGAAAAAAAGAGTACGCTTTCTCATCATTGTTGGAAATATCCCTGTCAAAGGCCTGTTTTAATCCTGTATCCCCCTGTGACGATATCCGCTTCATTTACCCAGCTGAAATTTCTTCAATATTTGTAGGTAGACATGTAGCAAAATTCATTTTTAGGTTTTCTGTTAAACACAGTGGCAGCTACATTTTTTTATTTCTTTATCATAGGTGTTAAGTTTCACTCTGAATAATTATCAAATGGGGGGGGGGCAAACAGAAGAATGGAAGAACTGTATATCTTTTCCCACTGGATATCTCTAGTTGTCTAAAAGTGAAACCTCATCTTTCCTTCAGTAGATCTGACATTACCCACCTCAAGAGTCTTTTACAAAGATGTCTTTTTCAGAAGTCCATACAAAAATAGCAAGAACAAGATATACATATCAATGGGCTCTGTGCATAAAATACTGCTGATTTGCCTCAGGTGCACATCACGATGAGGACGTGTCTTCTTAACTGTTCGTGTAATTTCCAAGGAAGCTTTGACTGCACATAAAGAGAGGGTCCATGGAGGCCACTTTGGCAGCGATAAAAGAATGTATACAGTGGAGGACGGCTGTCAGATTAGCAAACTCCAGCTCCTGAAAAGCACACGTCAAGGACAAGAGACGCACTGATTAGTCCGTTATGTTCACAATCCAAATCACAGTATTTAAAAAAGTTAACAGGTAATTGTGGTTTATTAATTAATTTGGCAGTTGTGGCTGATGCTATCTGCACTCTCCACATCTGTCACAATACTAGGAGTTGCACAAGAGAATGATAACAGTGTATGTCAGGGCAACTAGCTTCTTCCAGCATGATTTATATGCAGCCAGGTCATATTTAGACAATGACTTTTTTTTTTCTGGTAATTCACTAGAGTGGATTGATGTGATTAAAGTTCAGTCATTCAGCTTAAATTCAAGAGGTCTAACAAATGTAAGGCAATAATGCATTTAAAAAAATCAACAATCTGGTCCACTGTTAAAACGAAGGAATCAACTGGCAACACTGAAATACCTGAACGACAAGAGCGCTCTCACTCTTGTCAAAGTCTGCAATCAAGAGACACTTTCAGGTAAATACAGAGGTGTAAACCACCGGCTACAATCAAGACCAAGAAGGCCAGATTAGAGTTTGTCAGAAAACATCTAAAAGAACCTGCAAGGTTCTGAAAAAAAAACCTTTAGACGGACGAAAAGTGGCTGCAGGAAACACAGCAGTTTGTGCTCACGGGTTCTAGACTTCTGACACTGGCTTCAGAGAGTTTTCATCCAAGTATTGAAGAAAGATCCTTGAGTCCTTACAAGTCTGTCCAATTACTTAGGCTCCCATTTTCAGAGTTTCACATGTATAAAAATGGCCGTAACTCCTAAACAGTTAATAAAATATTTGAGTTAAACCACTTAAATAAAGCTTAAAGTCTGCAGTTTAATCACATCTCGACTATTTGATTTATGCACGGTGCTACAGAGGCAGAGACTAATTAGAAATCCCGCACTTCGAGTCACAACTAGTGTAAAAGAATCCAACTAGAATTAAACAAGTACATTTAATTTTATTAAATTGGGGCAAGAAATGTTTTATTACCTTCATTTCTATCTGCTTGCTTTCGGGATTCTTAAAAAGGAGCTTTACCCTGGTTTTCCCGTCGTCAGAGGAGCCTTTAAGTTGAGAGAACTTGTATCGCCACAGTATTGTCTACAAGGGAAGGATAAAAAGCACAGCAGAGGGGTTTCAATAATGAGCACAACAGGCTGCATGATCAGGAAATGTCATTTTAATGTGCAGTTGAGGAAACACAGCGGACCATCTTTAAAGTTATTTTATGATGGATTTTAACCAGTGCAGAGCTGCTAAATTAAACTCAAACTGTCATTTTAATAAGAGCATACTATTCTTGAAGAAATAAAGGTCTTAATGGAAGAAATTAATTTGTGCAAAATGTTAAATTTAGCATTTTTTTCCCCTCAAATAGCTACGATTAGAGCCTAAGCAAACATCAGTAAGGAGATTTTGAACTGTCATCTCAAAACTAAGAACAGTTGAAGCAGTATGCCAACAAGAATTGTGAACTCGGTAAAATGTCACCTTTGAAGTGCTTTCAGAGCAGGTGAAGCCTGATGCAAAATCTATGGTGAAGCACAGCACATTCCCCTGGCTGCTGCACATGTAGCTTTTGGACTGGTGAGAGAGAATTGACATCCATTAACAAACTGGCTGACACATTTTGTGCATTACATTGCTGTACAAAGGTACTTAGTACCGCTCTGCATTAGCATCCACAGCCTTGCATCAAACCCAGAGAGGAATGGTAGTCTTGCGTGCATTCACAGCAGTACCCTGAATACATTTGTAGTATAGATAAATAAATAACCTGCTTAGCATTCACCATACATCTGTGTAAACCCTCCATTATACTGTTTTTATGACAACACAAAGTATGCTTTACTTTCCAGCAGCTGTTTTGATTTGTTATGCTTTGAAAAGCACAGGTGTAACTAATCCAATTAGCAATGGCTGTGTTCCATTTAGCTGTGCCAAAATGATCATGTTCAAGGTTAATGTTGCATTCACTGACATTCACTACACCCAAGTGTCACATGCCAAAATGTCCACTGTAAGAAATGTGTACAAGAATGTTAGAGTATTTGATAAAAGTTCAGAGTATGGATTCAGTTTAATTTTATTTTCTCGATGTCAGCTGACAACAGCAGTCACGTCAGTACAATTTTTACTTTTATGTTCCATGAAGCAAATCTGCACCACCACACCTCAATGTGTGCAACTGGATTGAGATCTGGTGCCTGTGATATGGGCCACATCCAAATTCTGACCCTGCCACAACAGAAATCGAGACTCATCGGAACATTCAACATTTTTCTTCTACAGCGCCAAATCGCAACAACAGTCGCCTCATGGCACTTTATATGGTAGACCCCTATAATACAGACAGAGAAAAACCCAGCAATCATATGATGCCCTATGAGCAAGCACTTTGGCAACAGTGGGAAGGAAAAACTCCCTTTTAACAGGAAGAAACCTCCAGCAGAACCAGGCTCAGGGAGGGGCGGCCAGGATAAAGACATGCTGTGGAAGAGAGCCAGAGATTTATAACAAGCATGATTCAATGCAGAGAGGTCTATTAACACATAGTGAGTGAGAAAGGTGACTAAAGCAGAAATACACAATGCATCATGGGAATCTCCAAAAAGGCTACAACTATTGCAGCATAACTAAAGATGGGCAAACACTGTGCAATTTGGGTTTTTTTCCAGTCGCGTTATTCAGCTTCTGCTCAAACTGCACGATTGACTCGCAGGGGTTAGACGTTCGTAGGTCACGATGCAGGGTCTCACACTATACGGCCCGATGCTCTGATGCGACCTGAGTGCTCACACTGCATGTAACCTTCATGTTATGGACACAGAAAATCTGTCGCTCTCCCTCTCTGTCTTTCACTCACACAGACACACACACCACCACCATCAACTTTGCTAAATTGCTAATGAAAAACATTGATCAGGCAGCTGTGATTGAGCAGCAATGTAGATCCAACTATTTTCACGGTTGTTGTGGTCGTGATCATTTTGTGAGGCCACATCGAAAAGGCTTGGATGAGCTTTCCAAAGTTCTACAAGTTGTGCCTCCATCGCTTGTGTCCAGATGACATGCTGCACTGCCGTGCTGCTCCTTCTTTTCACTTTCATTTCTGTGTTTGCGTGTGCGCAGAGTGAGAGGCTGCGGTGACACCCTCAAGACAGCCGACAGGATTTCAAACAGGTTTGATTTTCATACGACCAAGATTGATGATCGGGAGCTGGTCGTGAGGTGTTAATCGCTTCTCGTTACCCCACGTATACTACACCATGCACGATACACGATGAAGGTGAAACTCGGGCCGATCCCCAAAACAGCTCACGACTCAAATCGGCTAAAAATGAGCCAAAAATTGCACAGTGTCTGCCCAACATTAGGGAGGATTCAGGGACACCTGATCCAGCCCTAACTATATGATTATAGTTATATGACTGACTAACTATACTACTATTTCTAGTCTTCTATTGTCTAATTGTGGTGAGCCAGTGTGAATCGAAGCTTCGGTTTCCTGTTCTTAGCTAACATCAGTGGCACCTTGTGTGGTCCTCTCCTGCTGCAGCCAATCTGCTTCAAAGTTGGATGTGTTATTCATTCCTAGATGGTCTTCTGCATACCATGGCTGGGTTGCAACAAGTGGTTGCTGGATATTTCCTTTTTGGGGGACTTTTTTTCTCTTTTTGTTTGTTTGGACCATTCTCTGTAAACACAGGAATGGCTGTGTAGGGAAAAGTCCCAGAAAATGAGCTGTTTCTGAAAGAAACACACCAAGTTGCTGCCAATGGATTGGCTCATTTGTGTAACAAGCATTTGAACAGTTATGCCTAACAAACATTTATGCTGTTGAATGTATATACTGTAAGGTGAAGAGTCTACAGCAGTAAAGTGAACTATAAGCAAGGTTTTCTTGATCCTTGAATTATGTGGGTATGAGAAAAAATACATTTAGTGTAATTTAATCGACTTTTTTCAAACTCACAATGTTAAAACAAGCAGATGTACGCCAATGAAACATTGCTGTTATTTGGATCCTCATACAAACAGCATGTTCTAATTGTATGATGGACTCATTGTGAGTATAAAACGGTTATATATTTCATCAGTCATACATCATAGGCATTTCCCATGTGTAGAGCTCTTGTGAAAGTCTGACATGTTAGGCTGGCAATATCTGATAAGAAGAGCAAATCTGTTTTTGAAATGTATTTATTTATTAATTTTGGTCTTGAGCTGTTGGCACACCCAGCATCCTGTGCGGCGTTCTGATAATGTCAAGACACATGACACGGGAAATCTATTTTAAAAGGTATAAATTTTTAACATTCATTTTCCTGCTGGAACACAAACAAGCATGTGTTTTCCAATTCTTTTCACGCAAATCTTTTGAAAGCACTGATGTGTAAGCTTTTCAGCCTCTGCGGAGCATTATGCCTCAAAAGGCTTCTCTTGCCTCACGACTTCATTTTTCGATTGTGTGGTCCACTCAGTTGGAATGGCAAGAAGTGTATTCTGATTTTTGCATTTGTGCTATATTTTCGTTTTATGTCCACAGACAGCAGGGGCATGGTGATTTTAATTATACAGTGCAGTGTGCAGAGAATGTGGCAAGGGACTGTACAGTCCTTTTACTGAAAGTGTTTGGTGCTCACAGACCTCAACCGCCCTGTCTTTAGTGGTGTCGTGAATTCAGCTGTGAAAGGAATGGGGTGAAAAAATGAAGAAAAAAGGAAACCCACAGTAGCAGGCCAGCTACTAAGTTCTTTCTGTCACCAAATGTAAGACTCTGTTGTGACACGGTGAGCAGTGACTACACTTCACTAATTGGAAAGGATTTTTCTGAGGGAATTAGCAACATGAAATATTTTTAAAGAAAATCTCCTTAAGTCTGACAGAAGTAGGAGCATGTGTGTAGAAGCGAAAGAAAACACAGGACACGGGGAACGCTCACAAGTGTGAAGATCTGCTGTGTCTGTCATAATTGATCATAAAGGGTGTCGAGGAGATGAAAAAGAAGGGTGGTAACGAAGACTGTGAAGGACGCAGATGCACTTTCTTAACCACTGAAAAGGTGCTAAATACGTACCACAAACAGCTCCAGCCTGAGGCAACGTTTAGCTCACATCTGACCACACCCTGTGTCACTGTGAGGGTAAGTGTACTTAAGTGACCACACCTAACAGAGATGTCACACAATGTACAACACAGAGATCGAGGAGAACAGGTTGTGTTGACGCAAGCTGGACGACAGCCAGGCACATGGGCTGGTGTCAAGCTGCTTATGTGATGTGTCACTGCCTATTGCTTCTCAAAGACTTCCACTGTTTAAAAGGGAAACGGGTTGGGTTAGTTGGCTTTTAGAACAACATATCTAAACAATGAGTGGATTTGCAATAAAGGCTGTTCGGGGTGGATTTTCATGACTAATTGGCTATGGCTATATACTCAATGATATTAAGCCTTAGCTTTATTTGATGCTTATTAGCAAATGTTAACATGCAAATACACAAACTGAAGATAAACATGTAAAACTTCACTGCAATTGCAAACAGAAAGTAAACAAAAAATATTTTAAGAACAAAAATACAAATTTTTCTAAGAATTCATGCTCAATAAAAAAGACTTTTCAGTGACCTGCAGCATTTTTTTTTAACCCCACACTGAGGAAAGTAACTCGTAACATTCACCAACACTTTGACTGTATTGAATGTCTTAGCTGCACATAAAGTGTTAATTTGAAAATCCTCGGTGACATGTTTCTCAAGTTGACAAGATTTTAAGAAAGAAAATATATAAATCAGTTATCATCAACATCAGGTGCCTAAAGTAACACTTGATTATTTTGATAGCTTAATATAAAAATATTCAGAAATGCCAAATCATGGGTCATTACCCAAATGTAAAATTTGAACAGCTGATACAGTGCAGCTGTTCTGGGTTTTTTAATTATTGCTTTCAAACTCTCTTTATGTTTTAAATATTCAGCCAACATAAAAGTGCCGTGAGACCATATAGAAACGTCGTCCACTCCCCGCTGTACATCGTTCATGTCAACAGGCCGATGTTGCTTAATATCAGGCAACAGAAAATGTCCCCCAAAATTTTACCGTTATTATTGTGGAAATTATGATCAGATGAAAAGTTCTTGAAGCAGGTAGACAAAAAATATGAAAGACAATGCACTTAAAGAGGACAAGTGCACCACCTACAGGGAAACACAGTTTGCAATATTCATCTCCTGCAAGGAAACTTAACTTTAAATATTTTTTTTTTTTACCCCTTCTAGACAATGAGTTGTATTGTTCTCTTGACCTCAGACATGCTGATGTTTGAATCACGAAATTTCAAATTTAGATGCATCACTCCCATTGCCACTGATTTTTAGTCCACTTCTTGTGTAATTTGGGATACATCGCCTTTTTCTTCCTGTTCCCTTTCCTTAAGAACGGCTTCTTGACAGCGACACTAAAGCATTTCTGATGAGTTTCAGTGAAAAGTAAATGGTCAGACGCATTTCACAGATTCTGTGTCAGGTCTTTGCTTTATCTTTTCCCATTTATTTATTTTTTCCTAGGGACGTAACTTCATCT